AGCTCTGAGCTATGTTGTTGAATTGAGGTCTTTAGACGAGCAGAATATTCAACACTAGGAAGAAAAGACAGGATGTTCCCTGCAGAAGTACACCTTCTGTCAACTGTTCACAGAGCAGTGAACGTCAGAGAAATCAATATCCCCCACCCCACCCCAACGACCCCCCGCCCAACTTTGTGGCCTGGGGTGTAACCAAGTTCCACTGAAATATTTATTTATTTTGTGCTTATCCAATTATTTTGCTTAATATTTTTCCCATCAATTCAACACCAGTTTCAACCAAGTTTGTGGTTAAGTATAGAACATAGCCCAAATTATTGGCACACAAGCCTACATTTAAAATAGTTCAACTATATTTCAACTGCAGTCAATGAAACCTTGATCCATAAAATAATAACCACTCCTTATGCTTCCAATATAATAGTGTTGGCATTGTTCCACTGGTCTTTCGTGTTGGAAGTCACACAGCAATCTAAAGTAACTGAATAGTTCAGTGCTGTGGGCACATATATCAAAAACTCTCAAATTTGATATTGGTTAGAAACATCATTTTAATGCACAAAAGAGGACTTAACAATGGCAAAAAAAACTATACATCAAGCTTGAAAACTAATTAGAGCAGGCCACAGTTAACATTTTGTTTTTGTTATCATCTGTATCATATTGAGGCACTTAGCCACTCAAAATTTTTTGAGAGATATTCAATGATGCACTAGGAACATCAAATTGAATTTATACTGAAACATGTATGTAGGTTTTCTAAGGCTACATTTTGTGGGCACAATGGGTCTCTTCATCGTGCAAGAATTGAAAAAAATAATGTTCATTTCTTTGAAATAACTGAAACGTTTGCTAGCCATCCAGGGTGATCCATGATTTATTTAATGGGGAACTGTATTCATTGAATTGATGTCCTTGCTGCTTACTAGTTCCTAAGTGAATTCAACTCCCCATTCATTACCATTGGAGCAGAACTTTCTGATGTTACTGCAGGGAAATTCGAGACAAAATGCCTATTCCTGGAATATCTTTCACCATCAGTTTTAAAGGATCAAACATACGAATATTACAGTAAAGCTGTGTTGCATTTTATCTATTTATTTAGTATTATGTGACTAATAAATAAACAGCAATCCTCCTTTAAGGAAAAATGCAGAAACTTCAAAAGAGCATCACCTAGTTCACCTGAACATTGTTTTTTCTGGCTTTTTTTAAAAAGACTATTGTACGATCATTGCTGAATTACTGCAAGGTCTTTTCCTGTTGATCACATTTTCTGGGATCTGCGTTAAAGCTTCCTAAGATCATTTGCCTTATGGCACATAACAGATGTCCAATAGGAAGAGCTTTTATCGGATCACTGAGGGATGTCGCGAAATCTGGAACGATTGAGTCCAATGAGTTTTTCCAGATCTATGTAAAATATTTTTAACAAAATGCAAGGTTGTAATCTAATTTAAATAGATTTCTGTTCTTTTAATCAAGTCAACAATATTTTAAAATCGAAGTTGTGATTTTCAGTCCCTTATGAGCATGTTTACATTCTGAAATACATATAATGACTTAATCACTTATTCCATTACACATTTTAGTGTACTTACAAATATCAATTGGGCTCCATTCAAAACAATTACTTTTCTGCAGTAGAATTTTATCATTCAAACATATTGAAATCTTTCCAACCCTCTCATGATTCTTTTTTTAAAAACTTCTTGCCAAGTATGGGAAGCAGCTACAACCAATGTATGAATGAGGTCTTCATTCTCATGCCAAGATTGCACATTGCATTATTGGGTTTAATGATTTTCTGCATGTTGAATGCTTGGAGAAAATAATTTTATTATAAACTACTGAAGATCCTTGCAGACATTTGCAATGAGAATATTCCATTAAACTCTTACTGAAGCATTTCTCGTTTTCAGCTAACCTCACCATCACATTACTGAATATCCACTTTTCAGTTTGTACCAATCTGTTCTGCATTACCAGCTATAACTCACAGCATAGATATTTACTTCATCTTGTGCCTTTGTTATATTTAATGATTCCCTAAAAGATTTAAAATGCTTCAATGTAAGATGAACTAGATACTCACACTGTTACAAGATTACTTCTGCTCTTTTTATAAGCACTACAAATGATGCATGATAACAGTACATTTCTTAAATGGAATCTATACATAGCAAAAGCAGAATACATTAAAAATTACTCCAGACTTCAAACTTCTGCTTGAATGACAGGAAACACACCGCACATGGCCAGAATGCTAGCATTTTATCATACATGTTTTAATTTGTATCTGTGCCAATCTGATGCTTCAAAATCACTGAAACTGTCAATATAAAAGCAGCGCATGCCACATTCAAATCGGTATGTAAATATGAATACATTTTTTAATTACTCTCTTAATGTAATGATTCATTCTCACACTTTCTTTTTTTTAATAAAACTATGCGTGGTATCTTCACTGTCAATTCAGACAGAGGCACAAAATAAATATATGCTGGCCCCCTACGACAACACATGCACACTGTGCTATCACCAAGCTGACAATTATTTGGCAAAACAAAGAAAAAAATAATACAGGGAAGGACAGAGTGTTGCAGCCCATTAAAGTGGGGATGATTTCCCCTACATAGAATTCTATTGATCTCTGCAGTCTGCAGCAGATGAAATAAGTGTGGTCAGGGAAAGGATGATGGATGCTCCTGCCAATAGCACTGAACAAACCTGTTAGCTAATTGCCACCAAAGACAATTATCCCAGCATTGTTTCATAATGGAAACACATTACAAAACTCTAATATACACACAGGGAAATTTGATGATTTGACTGCAGAGCCATGTGCATTGAATTTCATTGCCAAAGGCCAGCCAGGTCGCTGCTGTGAAGGGGAAGAGAGTGTCAGAATACAAGTCACCCTAGCCTGCAGCTTTTTCAGCACTTCCACAGACATATTAAAAGAAGCGAGTTCTTTGAGTAAACAACTAGTTAAAACAGCATGAAAATGGCAACTTGATCTTATCCCGTGTGGGTCCACGACAGAATTCTTGGGAAATAATAATGAATCTCTAAAGCACCTCCAAAGTTAAGCTTGGATTCTAAAACTAAAATTTCAGGAGCTTATAAATTAATACAAGATTTATTTTTTCTCATCAAAATCTACACTTTAAACTAAATTACTGCAATATACACAGAGAGAGACACATACGTGTACCAGCAAATCGACATCAGACTCTACAAAAACCTTGTTTTCAATTCATTATGATAACCAATGCACCAATTAAATTTGCATCTTAACAACATATTAAATATATTTTAAGTGCTGGGTTTGATTCTGCTCCGCACCATCTGGAAGGCTACCTGCCTTAGTCCATTCTGACTACTATTTTGACAAGTATGGGATAGCAGTAGGTCCAAAGCAATCAGAAGGTTGACTTTGACAAATGGCGGAGCTGCGGCGAAGTTGAAAATAACACACATCCACTTTAATCTCTTTCTTGATTAAATCGAAACCATACGATTCTGACATCATGTGATTTGCTCAAAAAGCATCACTGCAGGTTACTTTAGAGGCTATTCCCATTGAAATTATATTGAATTTTGGGGGAAGTGTTTAATTCATTCAGATGAACCTTTCACACTGTAACCACACCACCAATCATAGACTTACTAAAGCAATTTTGGATAAAAATCTACTACCACCACAAATACAAACTGTTTTGCACGATTGAACAATATCTAAGCATGTCCTGTCCTCTCCTATTAAAATGATGAACAGGGTTTATGCAGGGATTGCAGTCCAGTCCTTCATATTCACACTAGCATTGTCAGGCAGGAAAGGTAAACATTACACATGGTGATAAAAAAGCAGAAGATGAAATTTTCTTTTTACATGAGACTAGGCAAATATTTATGGGGCAGTTGACAAACTACTGCCCAGTAAAAGAGCCAGCACTGAGAGCAATTACCCTGATATTCATGACTCACTTTGAATATCACATTGAATATTACTCATAAATCTTTTACGAGCACATCCCCAGAGCTCACTTAACAGCCAGTTTTAATCATGCAGTTGACACAGGGAAAATAACAAAATGTATTTTTGCAGTAGCAAATTAATTTAAGCTTGAATCTCCTCCTGAAAGGCCTAGCCTTCATGATGTTACCCTTTTCTTCTTCACATGCAACGGGTGCAATATTGTTCTGCTCACACCTCGATGCTGAGGCTGTTCCTGGCTCGTTTTTTTTAAATAAAACATATATGTGGTCGGTACGGAGTTGGGCCAGAACATAAAAGTTTCTGCATCATTTTGGGTTTAAACCCAAGGCAATTCCCTTGAGCTGGTTGATCACCTTTGACATGCAGGCAAGCTGCAGCTGTTGTTTCTATGAAGGGCAACAATGTCTGAAAATTGGAAAAATGAGAATTCAAAGCTAGTTTCCGAGATGATATTAAATAAACCGAGATTTATTGGTGGGTGGTCACCTTTGTTGATTGTTGTCATTAGCTACGTGCCATCTACACCCTGTTAGCTGACGCTTACGTTTTGTTTGACGCATTTTTTTACTTTAACCCTTCAAGGACCGCTCCCACACCAAAGAAAGAAATCCAATTTCAATGATTTTTTTTAAAGTTGAAAAAAAACTGTAATGAAAATTCTGCCAGCACCTTATTTGGGACACTGTTGTGCCCAATTGGCTGCCATGTTTCGCCCACAAATATACAGTTAATTCACTTTACAGTATATTCTGTGAAGCGCTTTGAGATGTCTCGAAGACGTGATAAGGCGCGATATCAAATGCAAGGATTATTATTATTATCTCTAATTCTATCATTGCAACAAATAATCAGAAAATAAAGTTTGCATTTATATCAGTGGAGGTACCTTTATATTTAAAAAGTTGAAAAGGTACTTCAGGTATTCGAATAGCTACCAATCATATTATTAAATCTTGACACAAAAGTGATGGAAGCGAAAGAAAAATAAAGCACGTACGGGTTGTTTCATCGTGTTCCTGCAGAAATTTTTCAAGCACGATTCTTGCCATCAGAGCAGGAGCCAGGTCAACCTTTATCCAATATCCATGTCAAGAGATAGAATTTGTTTTTATTAAAATACGTAAAATACAGGATTTGTGATCAATTTTCAAAAGAACATTGCAACCTTTCACACTTTTTTTTATTAATTAACTGAGCTTATCAACCCACATGGTGCACTAGTTTGTGAGCTCTATCCTTGGATACTCTTGAATTCCCCAAGTCGTGAGAAAATATGTTGCACAGAGCTGCTTATTTCCAGAACTCACATCAGAGTTGACACATGAAAAATGGCAAAATTACCAAAGGTAGTCCAGACTAAATAAGGACTATCTTATTAGTTCAGGTACTTGCATCTCCTTAATTTTCATATTAATCAAATGTTCATCTTAAAAATCTGATATCAAATAGGACAATCAGAATACAGAAATTACATTAATTATTTCTTTAATCTTTTCTGAAAATAACTGCATAAACTAATTGCATTCTCAATTTTATTATCTCCCCCCAACTGAAAAGACTAATACAAACCCTTTCTGAACATTTGCTTCTTTCTGAACATACAATCTAACCTTTCATCAATGGTGTCTTGACCACTACAGCGATTATTCACTGATAATTAAAGAAAAGCTACATTTTCCGTTTTGTATTGCCCTCCCTTTTAGCACAACAACAAAATAATAAAGAAACGGTTACGTTTCCCATCAACTTTCATAGTTTTCAACAGCTGAAAATATATTGACTCATAAAAGGGTTGCACTATATCAATTAGCTGTCAAATGACACAGAAGTACCTTATTTAAATAAGTAGCATATAAAAATGACAATCAAATGGCTCAGAAGTAGCAATCTGGAGGCTAAATGTTTTCTATTTAGTGTCTCATATTTTTCCCTGATATGATGGGGAGGGGGGTGAAATTAAAATCCCACTTGGTTTAATTTTGTTTTTCTAAACTCTGCATCATTTGCCAGTCTGGAGTAAACTCCCTTTCGTACATTAGCAATATTGTCAGGGTTTCCTGACTGTTCATAGACCATTAAAGTCTCATAGTAACCGAAAGGTAATTGTTCATTTGCTGACTGTGGTAATGCACAAGAGACCCAAGATGTGAGTGAAACCATCCTTCCTTTCCTGTGAAACATCTAAAAGTGCTCCAGCACTTGATGCTCACAGCAGTTATGCAAAGCACCAAGCCAGTTTTAATACTTACAATCATTTGTTTTCCCTAGTTTTGGAAAATGACATTACAGTCTTAAAGAAAACAAAACACTGCATCACCCTCCCCCCCCCTTCTACAAACCACCTATAGTTAATAATCAAATTTCGCAATAGAGATGAGGCAGCATTACAAAGACAAAATCTGACCATACTAGAGCTATTAGTCAAATTATATTGGACCTATATGTTTTTTCATATATCACTTTCATGTCTTCATTGCAATTAAAGCATCACTGTTGTCTTTCATATGCTTTCTGTAAAATATATTTTATAAAAAAGGACTGGATTTTAAAGCTTCAAAATTTTACTGTACAATAATAAAATAGTTACATACTTGCATCTGATCATTATTAGAGATGGTCAATCGAAGTGAGTATCTACTTTTAAAACTATACATTTGCACCTTTAATATACTTTAGGCTCACACTTATTAAAATTTATATAGCGTTTCATAGCGATTGTGCAATCTTTAATAGTGCAGAAATGGTTTTAAACAGGATACCAAACAAATTATTTTGAGAATACGACCAGCCCACCGAAGAAAGATTACTTTTTTTATTGAAGTAAAACAAGTTTTATTTCACCACCTTAACCATTTATTGGTCCATATTATCATCACAATTACTACAGGTCACAATCCACCATGAGAATGAAAAAATGATGTGATATTTTCTATTGCCATGACCAGGTTACAAGGTTATGTGACAGTCGTGCTGTTTTTTGGGGTAAATCACAGTACCAATTTAATAATGCCACAACATGCTTTTCCCAAAATGTATGGTAAAACATCAATTGCCCTTAAGCATCTTTCTAATATTTATCATTTTGGAAGACAGCATTAAGGTTATGAAATATTGTTTCCAACTTTATTTTCTAATGTGCACTTGTGGTTTGTTTGTGATGTATGGTGCGCCAGAATTGCAAATTTCTGAATTTATTCTATTTTATTATTACTCTAGAACTGCAAAACAAATTTAAGAATCCAAGGTCTAAAGAGTTTTACTGAAAATTAAAAAAAATTCTTATAGAAATATATCACAAGCATTAAGACAACAAGAGCTCAGTAGATTAAATAACACACTGTAACATTAGGTCAAATGTGTCATTTTTGATCCATACCCGGAATGTATTGCTATGACACTAGTCAATTTCATCAAGGCATCTGCTGATTTCTGATAAAATCATGGACAATCAAGACAGTACATATTTTTTCAAACATATTTGTGAAAGTCATCTGATC